TACAGAGAGGAGAGACAGAGAGGAAGATCTTCCGTCCAATGATTCACTCCCCAAGTGAGCGCAACGGGCCGATACTATGCCGATCCGAAGCCAGGAGCCTCTTCTGGGTCTCCCACGCGGGTGCAGGTTCCCAAAGCTTTGGGCCGTCCTGAACTGCTTTCCCAGGCCACAGGCAGGGAGCTGGAAGGGAAGCGGGGCTGCCGGGATTAGAACCGGCGCCCATATGGGATCCTGAGCGTGCAAGGTGAGGACCTTTAACCACTTGCGCCACCGCACCGGGCCCGAGCCTGTATAGGTTTTAACAATAAATTACATTAAGGAATGGATATAACATTCTAGAAGAAGATGAGGGTATTGTGAGTCCATAGTTCCTACACTCCAGTTATTAATTTTTACTTCTTCAACCCCCGAAAGATTCCTACTAAATGCTAAAATCTTGACAATATAAAAGGAATGCAACTGATTATGTCCCAAGAGATTAAGCAAGTAAGGTAAAGGAAATTAAGGGATCGGTGCACAAACGCTATGGAAGATACAAATCAAAGGCACAAAATCCAGATGATATTTGTCAATCACAGTCAGGTGCACAGCAAAAGTTATCCAGGGATACAATCTTTATGCGGCTTAAAGTCATAGCCCAGGCCCATAAACCTTTTGGTTGTTGTTTTAAAACCTTATTTATTTATTCGCTTGAAAGGCAGTGTGACAGAAAGAGAAGGGGGACGTGGGACAGAGATGTCTTCCAAATGTCATTGGGCACGATAGCCAGGGCTGTGTCAAGCCCTAGGGAAGATCCAAGGTTCCACAACTTGCTGCAGGGCCCACATATTTGCAGCATTCTCTGCTACTTTTCTAGATATGTTACCAATCTGTCTGTGTGGTGCTGTATTTCAGGCAGCAGCTTAACTAACAGGACTGCAATGCCAACAGCAGGATAAACCACTCACAAAGAAATTTAATAAAGAGCAATGGTAGAGCAAAGATAGTCCAAAAACAGAGCTATACAAAACCCACAAACAAACATACATTTGTTTTCTCTTTTCAAAATGATGTTGTGCCATTCTGAGTTTTCATGAGCAGAATGGGCTCTGTTCCTGTTTCTCTCGCTCCTTTTCGAGCTGTTGAATTTTCTGAATTTCACATTCAGAAAACAATGGAGGCAGCTAGTTAAAACAAGTAGAAACTAATTGTGTGGGATTATAGATATGTTCATTAAACTGACAAAATAATATCACAATATATACCTATAGTAACACATCGCATTTCATTCCTTAAATATACATAGTACCCATTTATTCATTAAAAGTTAATATTAAAATCTTTAAAACATCAAAGCCCCAGCAGCCATTAAAGTCTATTAGAAAAAATTTAATTTAAATAAATGAAAATATATCTAAGACAGAGGCAAAGTGAAATTAAATAAGCATTCAGGATGACAGTTTAAAAAGTGCTTCAGTCTTAGCACAAGTAAGTACTGTTTTTAATGTTTGTGTTTGCTTTCAATTACCTTATATAAGACAGTATACATTATTGTTTTGGAAACAAAGATTTATTTATTTCTGTTATTGAGAGATACGGATAAAGAGATAGAAAGGGGGCTCTCATTATTCACTCTGTGCCTGCCAAATCCAGGGCTAAGAGCCACAGACTCAGTCCAGATCTCATACACAGGCATCAGAAATGCAGGAACTTCAGTATTTGCTGTTTCTGTGAGTCTAAATTATCAAGAATTTGTAGTTGTGTGCCAAAGTCCTCAAACCCAGGTAGTCAACTATGGGATGTGATCATTTTGAGCACTAGGCTATACCCCTATTTCTCAATCTTTCAAAACGTAACTGAAAAACAAAAAAGGTCACTTTTCAATGCCTTTTATTATGTACCACTTGGTCCTTAACACAATCAAGATGGATATGCAGTTTTACGGAAATTTAAGACAATGCACATGACTAATAAAATGCCCCTAAATAAACAAATTCACATTTTTGTTACTCTCTAATTCTGACCAGCTTATTCTATTGAATAGTGTCAATATTTAGTTCAGTCTGTGATGTGGTTAATGCTAATTACAGTACCTGAGCTATAAAAATAAACTACTTTGTTTTAGCAAAGCTCTTAAACAGTTGTTTTAAACCAGCTATCCACACTGTCCATGTAAAAGAGTGAAAATTCCTCACAAATATCTATCTTAGAGTTGTAACTGAGCATATTTTGCGAAAAACTGTCAGAAACAGCACTGCAATGTTAAATATCTGATTTAAAAAAATAAAAGTTCACCACCAAGTATTCCTAGCTGACATATTACAGATTAGATAGAGATCATATTCAGTTGAGAAAATTAATTATTTGTTTTTCCTCTGAGCATGTGGGAGCTGGGCAGACACAATTTATGCACTGCTTTAATTTACATAATTAATGTATAAAAGGGAAATAAACATTCTGAGCCAAATTTCTTACTAGAAATAAAATACATGATATTGATGTGCAATTTGGAAAAAACATTTTTTTTGGTTAATTTTGGCATCATCTATATTAAAACACATTACCTCACTGGAAAATGTGGGGTATTTTTTGTTTGTTTCTCAATAGGAATAAGTTTATACGTGACAAACTTAAGTGATCTTCCACTCAATCAATGAAGGTGCCTAACAGCATGTCACAGTCTCTAGTCAACGTTTCTGTTGATGTTTTCTTCCACAGTAGGTTCTAAGTGTTTGTTCTTCACAAACAATCACTAATTAAGCAAGTTAATTAAAGTGAGAAGAAATAACACATCTGTTATGGATAAAAATCATACATGTAAGCAAAACATTACTTGGCTCTTAAAAGCAATTAAAAGTAATTCCGACCGGTTAAAGGGTTGAATGGCATGAAGTACAATCATTAAAGTAAACAGAGCATACTAGATATAAAAATCCAAAGATGCTTATGGAGTATTGCTTAATGTGTTTTTCCAGACCTTGTGACAATGCATTTTTGTTGTTACTTTGTAGCAGTTGAGGAAAATGATGCAATAAACATACTACAATAAACATTAAAAGGTACATAATACTATTATTCTTAAAGCAATAGAAATACATTCAACTAATTCAAAATCCATTTGAAGACACCCAGTAATAAGAAAACAGATTGATCCTGCTGTCACATGAATTCACAAGATAGTAAAATAAATTATCAGAAAATGAAACTGTTCAAGCTTGACAGATGTTAATCAAAATTTTCACTTTCCTTATAATTTCTTATACAAATTTCAGAAGGAATCAGCTAGATTCTCCCTTTGCTAAGTTGAAATGAAGCCTCAGAGAGAAATGCAGGTGTAAAGGGGAAAATTGAGATGTAAATCTAAGTAAAAATAAATTGTTTAATCTTCATAAATCTTTGTAAATGGTTAGTGACCCTGTATTTGCTGGAAAAAAATTACACAGAATAGGATTTGGGAGACAAGCTACATTCCATTCTATAGATTGTTTTATAAAAAATTGGCAACCCATCAGAAGGAATTTCAGAACTTGGTACTTATAATCTTGTCTTGTCGCTTCACCCGAAAACTCTATAGACCATTTATATAGCCACTTCTCTTCCTTTCTCAGATAAACTGTTAAGGAAACATTTCAATAAACGACAGTTACTCTGAAAAAGGAGGAACAGTTACTCTGAAACGGCATGGCCCCATTGCCAAACCACAATACCTTTTCTCTTCACGACATTTTCCAGTTCCCCATATCACTAATGACATTCTTGCAGTATGTCATTGCTACTCAAGGTATATTACAAAATCTGAGTTTATATTTGTTTGTTCATTTCATATTTCAGTTTTGATTAGTTATCATCTAGGATACATTGCTCAAATTGAATTCACTGAAGCTTGATAAAAATATGCTGTGAAATCAATGACTTATATCTTATGCATTTACAGATTGATGCAAAAATTGGAGGTGAATATGTCTGATATACAGAACCTGTATGATTTGTTTAACTCATTGATTTGTACTTGCAAGTTTCCTGCTGTGCCACAACTGTCCTCTTGCTTGTGAATTATGTTCCATTGATTCATGAATGTATGTATTTGATCAGTGATACTCCTATAAGGAACATCATTTTCAAGCATTAGTAGGAACAGAACAGCTATTCGTTTGTATTAACGATGTGTTATCTTTCACAAAAGTATGAATTGGAATTTTTTAGATTCACATAGCTATTTTACTTTTCTCAAACACCAACATTGAAACACTTATAAGTGATTGAATATTTATATTTTAGAACCCATTTCCTATCTATATGCAACTACCAGACTTTTTATAAAAAGTTATGCCGAATGTTGTGAATAACTTCATTCCTCACTTGGAATAATTCCAGAACACATATATAAAGGAAGTGTCTAGAAAATGTAAAAAAAAATTAATTGCTATACATTTAATAATTTGTCTAATTTTAATATAATATTTAGTGAATTATGTTAACTATTTGACACACTGACTTGAGAGTAGTAATTACTGGTTCAAAATAATAGCAACAATAAACACTACAAAAAAATTCCATGCTATTACAAATTCTAACCTTGAAGAAAGTTAATCAAGTGGCAAATATGGATGAAAATGTTCATCACTTGGATACAGTTTTGGTTCTAGGAATGCTGAGGACTCATAACATTTTATCACACTCCAGTTCACTTCAACAATTAGGTCACAGAAATAGTAGATGCCCAAATATTTCAAAAGAATTATGTATGGCATTGCATTTGATTTCCAAACACATCAATATGCATTGAGTAATGTACTGATAACAAAGAAATCTTTATGAGTGTGGATATTCATTTCAAATAGCTTATTGCTTAAGGATTGTAATTGCCCTAGAATATTTTGGAAAATTTGTGGACTAGAAACTTACATAAAACTGTGGAAAAGTCGCATGCTTCAGAAATAGTACTTCCATCAAGCCTGTGCTCTAAAAAAGAGTGTGAATGCAAAGCAAGTAGTTATCTGTAACGCGCAGTTTCTTGATATTTACAGTATTTTTTCTTCTCTAGCTGCCATTCCTTCAAAGCTGTTCAATTGCTTTTTGGAGTCTTTTTTCACTTCACAATCAGAACAAGGAGGCATTTGTAATTTCTGTGGAACAATACAAAAAACAACGTCAGAAGAATCAGTATAAAATCATTTTAAGGCAAAAATCTAAACTCTTACCACAATAACAGTGAAAATTCACCACTCAATAAACACCTTAGAGTAAGTTATGTCTAACCGAAGCTTTAACTTCTATATCATGTAAAAATAAATCCTTATGTATTTACATGAATTTACAAGGCATAACACATAAGACATTTGTCCATTGTGGAAAGGACTTCAAAATGATTTTATAAAACATTTCACTAAATGATCCAACAATATTCAATCCTAACCTAAACTTTGAAAAAGCTCTGTGTTAAGGTGAATAAAGCTATATAACTCACTAAATCATATTTTAATCAAATATAAAATAACACACATAATAATTCACAATTAACATTTTTAATTGTGTTATGTGGGTAACACATAATTCTTTCTGCCTCCTCTACTTCATCTCTTGTGCCCTATAATGGATATACACCTGGTTTTTGTTGTCTACTACTGTTACTTTTTGGTGAGAGGGAATACGTCAGGCTCTTTCATTCTTAATCTGAACACCTCATCTATTTAGGGTAAGAACTCAATGTCTAGCATACAATATTCACTTCAAGTTTGAACTTGAGAAAAGCATTGAACACAACTGATCTATGTGTGTTTTTTTTTTTTTTGACATACTGAAACTAAAATGACAAACAAGGTCACTACCTCTGGGGCAGGCTCTGATTCTGTAGTGGAATTACTTGTAGGTTTCTCTTTGTGCTTCAAGGAACAACTTCTGCTGGCCTATAAACAAACAACAGCAAAAACATAGTAAGTATATCAAACAAAAGGCATAGAAAATTTCCTTTGAATATTTCCCATTGAGACAGTTCCAAGATCTTGATGTAGGCTGAAAGGAGTTGCCAGGGACTCAGTAAACATGACATGAGCAAGTTTACAAGGAGAGAGCAAAAGTTCTTGATGGGTTTTGATGTCACACAGGAGCTTATCACAGTCTGTTGCAACAAGAACAATTCCCACTGACAGTACTTACTTGATAAAAAATCAAAAAATTATGAAACTTATATATGTGATATTTCCAGACACTAAGATTCTGATATGACAAGAGTCTGTGTGTTTTCAGGAACATTAATATTGAAAGCTAAGAAATGATGTAAATTATATGATCGTAAGGCTATATAGCAGAAAATTCTCAACATGTATTTAAAATATCTTTGGAGGTAAATTTCTAATATTTTGCTAGTGAAGAAATCTTTCATTAGAGAGAATAAGGGCATTGAAAATATATTCTAATTAGTCTTCATTTACAGTTTCTTCAAGATTAAAAAAAATTATATTTTTGGCCTTCCATCCCGCTCTTCCTCCTGTCTACTATCTTCCCTCCCCCTATCCATTTTTATCATGAACATACTTTAATTAACAACAAAATGATTTGGGGGTAAGCATTTGAATTTTGAGAATCATTTTCTGCACTGTTGTTTTTATTAATAGATAAGGGCTGAGTGCATGTATTTAGCATATACATGCACTCTGCACCCAATCTTTTGTTGATCCCTTCATCCGTTGATAGACATCTGAGTTGATTCCATATCTTAGCTATTGATAACTCCCTCATATGCTGATTTCATTTCCATTTGATTAATTCCTAGTAGATGGCTTGGTCACATGGTGGAACTCTTTCAGATTTTTGAGAAACCTCTATAATACCTGTCAAGGATGTGAGGAAAAAGATACTAAAATCCGGTTTAGTGTAAAAAGCCCCCTTGCTTTTGTTGTGGTTTCTTTTGTTTAAGATTGCTTTAGCTATTCTGGGTCTCTTATATTTCCATATGAATTTCAACATCATCTTTTTTTTTTTCTAAAGAGAAGACTATTGTTTGTAATTTGATTGGGATTATATTAGACTTGTAGTTTATTCATCCAATCCATTAACATGGAAAATTGTATGTGCTTTATTCTATTTTGTTTTTCAATGATTTGAAATTTTCATCTCAGAGCTCTTTTACAACCTTGGTTAAGTTTATTCAAGGAAATTTATAATTTTTTGTACCTATTGTGAATGATACATTTAAAGAAATTGCAACTACCCAATTCTCTCTCTCCCTCTCTCTCTCTCTCTCTCTCTTTCTCTCTCTTTTTTTTTTTTTTGGCTTGTAGAAGAATATATTTTACAAGTAAATAAACAGGAAATGAAACTCTGACATTTCATCTAACCATAAGAGTCCCAAACCTGTGACTGGTAACTAGGCAGTATCACAAAAAGATTTCATGCAGCTTTCTTCTTCTATTTTTTTTTTCTATAGAAAAGCAACACACTCATATACCTTAATTTTCTAATATCCAGTTATAAAACTTTATAGCAAGAAGTGACAGAAATTAAATGACAAATTAACTTAAAACACATTTTGACTGTGTATCAACTCCTTTTAGTTTTTTACTAAAAGAAACGTAGTAAGGCTGCTTAATTCAAAGATTTTTCTAACATATTACAATACTTTTAACTATAAAACATCTCTTAGCCAAATTATTTTAACAACGGAAAATATAGAGAAAATAGACAGAAAAAAAAGTAACTCCAGCTAGCAGATTGATTTTGGTCACTAAATTTTTACTTTATATTGACAGGCTTAACTCACAACTATAGATTGCTCATAAGTATAAAGTGGAATATCATTGTTTCGTGAAAATATATACAAGGGCCACCAAAAATATCAAGAGATTTCAAATTCATTCTTACTCATTCACATTCTTTTGTACTGTATATAAGCTACCAGAAATCAGAGAAAACATGAGATTTGTCTTCTTGTGTTATCAACTGCATTGCTAAGAATAATGGTCTCTGATTCCATCCATTTTTTTTCAAAACAAATTTCATTATTTTGATGAATATATCATTTTTCCTTTTTTGTAAGTTTCATCATAATTATTCCTCTGTGACTTCATGTAACTATTTATTTACTTACTTATTTATGATACAGTTCCAAAGGCTCAAGGATATATACTGCAATGCATCTTCACTTCTTGGTATGCTAACCTCCATTATACAGTTACTCTTGATGAATATATGCATGTATGCACATACATTTTTACATATAGCTAGATGGATGGATAGATGATAGATAGATAGATAGATAGATAGATAGATAGATAGATAGATAGATAGATAGATAAATAGATCTTATATTTTTATGAAGGCTGTATTATATTATAGGGAACATGTGATAGCTGATCTTTGGGTATTGTAATCTCACTGAGCATAATGGTCTCCAGTTGGGACCGTTTGTTGTAAACAAGAGAATTTCCTTTTAATATCTGAGTAGTATTTCCTGATTTCATTATTTTTATGACATTTAGTATTTCATCATAGATATTTACCACATTTTCCATTGCTATTATTATGTTGATTTTAAGACTTCATTCTTAAAATTTATGCTAATATAGAGAGTAAAGATTTTATGCATTCCACAGTTATATTCCTAAATTGAGGGAAATCAAAGTTGACTTCATATCTTATCTATTATGGATTGAACTGCCATTAAAATGAATGTACAGATAACCTCTTTTAAAATTTGTTTATTTTATTTACCATGATACATTTTTTTTATGTAGGGAATTCCCCCACTGCCCATCCCTTTCTCCTTCTCCATTGCCCCTTGCCACTATTTTCTCCCAATTACTATAGTGGTATAGTATTTTGGTAATAGTTATAAGTTTAACATTCTGTTATTTAATGATATCATGAAATTGTAGATATAAAAAAAAGAAGAGAATCTAGTACATTCTTAAGGTGTATTTAACTGTTTCACCTGGTGGAGTCCTTTTATTCAGGAGTAGAGATTCTTATTGTGTTATATCTTTACCTCCTAATACGCTAGTCTTCATTATAAAGACATTATTGAAGTCTGTATGGAGAGTTCTCAGAGAACTGAAAATTGATCTCCATAAAACTAAGCTATACCACTCCTGGAAATGTACCCAATGGAAGAGAAATCCACATCATATGTATATGATACATATATACACACACATATATATCATGTACATATGATAATACCATCTATATGGTATAATCATCTTCATTTCAAGCTGTGATAAACAATTCATGCAGAAGGTAACCTGCATAGTATAGGATTCCCTAAATTTCTTTGGAAAAAGGTGAGTCTTCACGTCATGTAAGTTTGGGGAGAACCTACTTCAACTTTAAAGAGTTGTATTTACGGGCCCGGCGCGGTGGCACAAGTGGTTAAAGGTCCTCGCCTTGCACGCCCGGGATCCCATATGGGCGCCAGTTCTAATCCCGGCAGCCCTGCTTCCCTTCCAGCTCCCTGCCTGTGGCCTGGGAAAGCAGTCAAGGACGGCTTGGGAGACCCGGAAGAGGCTCCTGGCTTCGGATTGGCATAGTATCGGCCCGTTGCGCTCACTTGGGGAGTGAATCATTGAACGGGAGATCTTCCTCTCTGTCTCTCCTCTCTGTATAACCGCCTTTCCAATAAAAAAATAATAAAAATAAATCTTTAAAAAAAAAATAAAGAGTTGTATTTACTATAGTTCTTCTCAGATACTTGCAAAATGTCTTAAATCTTTGCTTTTCCATAATTCCTCTACATAACCACACAAGGTTATTATATGTATATATATATGCACATGTATATGTATACACACATGTGTGCTTATGTATGCATGTACACATGCATATCTATACATATATTATTATTTATGTTTAATTTAAAAATTTCTTAAACATAAAATTTATAAATTTAGAGGTGGGAATATTTATTCATAAATATTTGATATCTCTATATACAAATCTACTTACAGTATACAATGTATTTGTATGTTAAAGCATATTTATATATTTATATTTGTTTCTATAAATAGATGTATATTCTTATATATATGTACTTAGACATACATGAATATAAAAAGTGAATGAGAGAGCGAGAGAGCAGTGTTTTAACTCCATCTATTAATATGAGGCTTATAGATTCAATCGGCATTCAGCATTATAAACATTCAAATGTAATTTGAAGTGCAATATTTCATAATGCAGAAATGTGTTATGAATGTGCAACAGATAAATATTTTTTATCTCACAATTTATTGTTTGTGAGTGTTCCTTGAGGTCTTTTTCATGCAGAAATTGCTATAGAATTTGCTATGAAGTACATTATTTCATTAATGTAAGCACAAGTACACCCCATGCCCTGAGATCAGGCACTGATCCCATGAAAATTGAAATAATTTTAAATTTTAAGATTAAAGAAAACGCTATGTTTCTTGAAAACAACTCTAATCTTTTGATACTTTAATTCTATCATAAGTCAGTCTTTTAATATTCTTTTACTGTACTACAGAGACATTTTAGGATTTCATGGCTCATAAAAATGTTAGCGTTTCTTTGAGAGGCAAGCGGGGCAACATTCACATAATTACACCTTGCAGGTTTGGTGCCACAACAATCGTTTTAAATGTATAGCTCTTGCAGAAACAGGTATTCACTTGGTGAAAGCAAAAGGGTAGGCTTCTTCATTGAGTTGTTTCACTCTGTTGCAAATATGATGCATATTCCCATAGATTCCAGAAAACAGCACTCCTGAAAGTTAGGGATTGTGGAAATCACTTCCCATGTTAGAGGAAAAAGGCAGTTTATCCCTGTGGTTGGTTAAATGGTCCTTGAGATAAGTAAACTTTGATTCAGGTTTCAGATCTAATGCTCACTCATTCAGCAAGAAGTGATAATCTCTGAACCTCAGTTTATTTTCGTATATTATGACTGATATGCT